TATGTTGTTGAGGGGCCAAAGAAAGACTTCAGACTAAAAAAAATCCAATATTCTTCCTATTTTTCTTGGATCGGGCTTTAAAGGGTTAAAGTGTCAGAGTTAGGACTTTTTTCAGTGTCAGGAAAAAAATAGGTGCACGTTCATGTACTTTCTCAATTTATTTATTTAACTGCACCCCAAAGGCTCAGGTTTGGGCTTTTAAAGGGCCTGGAATGGTCCATTTCTGTTCCCAGACGGAGGACGGTGAGGGTGTGGCAGCAGGAGCTTTGAAGAAACACCAGAAACACGGCTTTGCCCCCCTAAAGATCCAGTTAGCTGCTTTCTTTACCAACATAACTAGCAGTTTATCTGTAGTAAACCAAAAAATCTTACTTTTTACTGAAGGTTTTTCTAAAATCTTGACATATTTACAATGAAATGTGGAAAAAACAATGGTTTTAATGAGCTTTGCCCAAGGGAAAATACAAAAACAAAAACAACCCAGAAATACATTTTTTCCTTTGCTTTTTCTCAGTGAGGACATTTGAGTCTTTAAATCAGCCTCAAGTTGAGGTTTAAACGGGTTTAACATGAATATGAGCGTTCATTTTCACCTTTTTCAGCACGTTTCCACCAAGGTCATTAACTTCTGAATCAATCTGTTGCTTTCTTTAGCTACTTTGGAAACTTCTTCAGTAGCTTTTAAAGCAGTCAGACAGCTTTGGAATGGGTTGAGTTTGATTTGGTGGACTCTGACTACATTTAAATGATCCTAATTCTGACAGACTGGAGTTGGTTTGCCTCTCTGACGGTAAAAAGGTCCCATTTCCTCACATTTTCTCTCATTAGAGGCTCGGCTGTTGCGTGTTTTGCCCTCTGTTGATAACGTCTTCCTCTGAGGGAACACTGAGGGTACCAGCAGTTTACATCTGGATGGATCAGATTTCAGCATCTGTGGTGCACGCGGGACGCACACATTAATAAAGATGTGTTTTAATCACAGCTAAACCTCCATGCAAATCCACCTTCTGCTTCCTGAAGAGCAAAATCCACCCGAAATGTCCTGTTTCTGCTTCTCAACATGGAATCTTTTGGGCTTTGAAGATCATGTAGAGTCTGAAGCTCAGAGTTAAGCACAGAAAAGTCTGCAAGTAGAGCATATTTTGCATATTTGAGAAAAGACATTCCTAAAGTAGAGTATAGGGAGGATGCTCAAGCTATGGAGGAAAGATGGAGACAAAAAAGGAGATGTTCATGATATGGATAAAACCATATTCAGGCTGCACACCTGGATGAAAACAGTCTGATGTAAGGCAAAAAGTACAGATACGGGAATACCAAACATAAGGGCAGAAACACCCAGAGCTAGGCAGAGTTTTCTCTCCAGACTTTATGCATCGATCTGAACTTCTGACTGGGACCTGCTGACAATAATCCTCTTTTGTTCCACCAAGTTCTGCCTCAGCAGAGTTTATCCTGCAGCACCTCCATTTGAGCTAATGACAGACGATCATCCCATAACTCACCACAATCTCAAATGTCAGTTTGTTAGCTGTGACCCACTCAACGCTGTTTTTCAATGATGAATAACAACCAAAAAACTAAATCAGAGCAGGAGGGCCTTCACTTTCTGGGCTCTTTACTCTGCCATCCGCCTCCTTCAGCAGGTGTTCTTCCCCCTGCTCGGGCTAATGACCCGCCCCAGCTATCAGTTAATGATGGGAGAAGATGGTAAATTGGTCCCCGTTGCCCC